CCAGTGCCTCCTCATTGTCCACAGAAGGTTCGAGCCTTAAAAGCATTCTGGGCCCTGGAGGATGGAACCCCCCTCCACCCTGAACCTAGTCTCACTCACTCTGAGCTCCACAGGATACTCTAGACAAACCCACTTCGTCCCGTGTCCTTCTTCCTCTTCCCCAGGCCTCTGCTCATGCCATTTCCTCCGCCAGAGCACAGGAGCTGTCTAGATCCAGTTCCCTCCCAGGAACATTCCCTCCCCACCCAGGCTGGGTCGGGTTCCGCTCCAGCCCTGCCGGCCATAACTAGGTCTCCATTCTCTGTATCACCCCTGCCTTAATGCGCACCTCCCTCACCCTGGCTTCCAGCCTCCAGGACGGTGTCTTGTTCAGATCTGGATTCCGGGGCTCGAGCCAGGGTTGGCACATAATAAATCTGCACAAGGTCCTGCCACCACACCACCCGGACCCTCCTGGGCCCTGGCCTGGCACGCGCCTGGGCACAGAGGAATTGGATGGGGCTGGATTGAATCAGCAGTGTGGCACCGGGGCAGAACAGAGAGCCAAGGTAGTGGCACGGACAGGAAGGAAGGGGGTTCACATCAGGTTCCCCAAGGACTGGGTACGTCTGGTTTCAAATCTAGTTTAGCAGTTGCGTGTTTGGCAAAGCTACCCAACGACCTGAGCCTCAGTTTCCCTGTCTATAAGGTGTTTGTGTAAAAAATACCCACCTCACTTGCGCTGTACTTGCTTTAGGACCCTTAGGTGTTCCGTGCGTATGAGCCCCGCACTGTGTTGCGTCAGCCCGCCAATCTTCAAAGCCTCTACCTTGGCTGTCAGTGGCGAGCGGACAGGAAGAAGGAGAGGGTGGTATCCAGAGGCACTGGATGGGAACTACAGGGCGGTCCCTCCCCCGCTGAGGCTGGCCACCTCCTGCCCGCAGCGTCCAGAGTCCCAGCCTCAGAGATGGAGCCCCTGTCTATCCACCCGCCCACCCACCCTGGCCTTTCTGCTCCCCACATAATGGAGAGGTCATGGGCCAACATGATCGGGTCAGGCAGAAGGAAGTGGGAAGCAGATACGCCATGAACTTCACAGCGGCCCTTCTCACTGACCACTGAAACCGCCGTCACCAGACAAGCCGGTACATAGAAGGTGTTCGGTCCATATAACGGTCCACAATTCAACCATAAAAAGGAAAGTTCTGCCACACTCTGCAGCAGGGATGAGCCCTGAAACAGGACAGAGTGGTGAAGATAGGCACACAGGCCATACAGTATGTAACTCCATGTACATACAACGTCCAGAACAGGCAACTCAAAAGCCGGGCGTGGTGGCGCACGCCTGTAATACCAGCACTCGGGAGGCTGAGGCAGGAGGACCACTGTGAGTTCAAGACCAGCCTGGAATACAAAGTGAGCTCAAGGCCAGTCTGAACTGCATAGCAAGACCCTGTCTCAAAAAGACAAAAACAAACAAACAAACAATAACAACAAAAAAAAACACAGAACAGGCAACTTACACAGATGGAAAGAAAACTTTAGTAAGGCCGGGGGTGCAGCTCAGTGACAGCTAAAGGACCTGGGATCTCTTCTTTTCAGTGATGAAAGCATTCTAGGATTGCGGGGCTGGCGCGAGTACCTGTGAATGTACTAAAAGCCATCAAACTGCACCCTTTAAACAGGTGAAACATCCAGTGCGTGAATTATAAATTACCGTTCAGTCAAGGTATACAAAAGCACAGCAAGCGGGGGAGTGGGGAAGAGGGGGCTGCAGGAAAGCCGCAGCATCCACAGTCTCTCCTGGTAGAATCCTAGATGTGGGATTCACAGCTTCCTAAGTCTCCCAGCAGCCCTGCTGGGAGGGCTGCCTGCACACCCATTTTACAGAGGGGCGGGCTGAGGTGCAGAACCTGCCGACTGAGAAAAAGCAGCTAGGAATCCGGGCTTTGAAATCAGACAGCAGCCTGGCCCAGGCCTGCCTGCCAAACCCCACTTCGAGGCTTCCCTGACACTCCAGGAACACGAGACCAGTGTCCCCACCTGCCAGCGGTTGCCCTCCGGTAGGCTGTGGGGTAGAGGCACCCACCCCAGACAGGTCTGCACAGGTGTGAGCATCCCCGCCTTGCACCCATAGCACTGCCTGGCCCTGCATCCCGGGCCAGGGCCACACCCCACCCCAGGAGAGCCTGGGCGGCTGGGAACACCTGCTCACCGGGCTGGCTGGAGTCACCCTGTGCCTGAGGCCATACCCCTGGGGGTGGCAACTGGAGCAGGGATTGCCAGGTGTGAGAGAGGATGCAGAGGGGATGTGGCTGCAGAGGGGATGCAGCTGTGTGCAGGGTGTGCACTGGTGTGCTCTGGTATGTGAGCACTGGGTTTCCATGTGCCGCAAAGGATATAGGTGCGGAACGGTGACGAGGAAGGGCTGCAGGCTTGGTGAGCCTGTGTCTGGTGTGTCCTGTGTGTGGGTGGCACCTGTGGGTGGGGTGTGGGTTTGCAGTGCAGAGCATGCTGGGACCAAGGCTTCACTGCACCGCCTCAGCTCGGGAGCCACAGCGGACCCAGATGAGTGTGCATGCAAGTGGTGTAAGTGTGACCACAGGTGTGCAGCAAGGGGGCACACTCAATGTCCTCTGCTCCTCCCCAAGTGGCTGTCACCCTTCAGACCTGCCCAATCACCTCCTGCATTTGTGTTTCTCCCTGTACTTGGGCTGTGACCATTCAGAGTTCAGATTCCACTCCCTGGCTTCCTCTTACAAACTGAGAAGGCTGGAAGAGAAAATCCTCTGAGCCTTAGTTTCCACATCTGTGCAATGGGAACAGACTAGCTCCCACCAAATGAGCTGCTATGGGACACCAACAGGAGGGAAAGGCCAGAAGCAGGAGAGGAATTCAGCAGCAAATGAGTGTGTGCATAAATGAATGCCGAAGAGGGCTGGTCAGGAGCCCTCCCTCTGTCCTGGTCCTGCCTGGCCAGTCCCCACCAGCCAAGGCCCCAGAGAGTTCTGAGCTCCAGCCCTCGCCCAGTCTTGGCAGCTTGATGAGGTGGGAGACATCTGGGTGTCAGGCCCCACCCTCCTGGGCGGGCAAGGGCAGGCCTGGGGAAGCCGGCACTCCCAGGGAGGCGACGCCCCAGAACTCCAGGTGCTCTGCCTGCCGGGGACAGGTGCAGAGGGAGGATGGGTGTGGGCTTCTTAACGACATGTATTCATTCAGCAAACCCCTTCTAGGCACTAACTCCGTGCCAAGGCCTAGGCCAGGCACTGGGGCTGCCAAAACCAACAGTCCCACCCCTGCCCTTGGGGGCTCTGGCAGAGATGGCTTCAACCCAGTGCAGTTTGTGCAGGCGATCCAGGAGCTCCGAGAAGGCTGGGCGGCCCAGGGAGGCTTGCTGCAGGAGAGCGCACAGAGCTACCACGGGCCAAGGGCACAGCTCAGACAGAGGCCTGGAGCCCCCTGTGCTGGGTGAGGAACGACAGCAAGAGATGGAGCTGCAGAGGGCTTCAGCACAGCGGCAGGTTTGACACATCAGCCTGAGTCCCAGCCGTGAAATCAGACACCGTTAATGACCGTCACTCTCATGCTATCTTGACACAGGCCTGAAGACCCCAAGTTGCTTTCATATCCAAGAGCTTCCACGGTTCTTGTCACAGCCCTACCATTGAAGGGGGATAAAAAAATCCCCCCAACCCCTTTTTACCTTGGCCCCTAGGAAACTCAAAGGCTAAACTGAGCATTTACTTGCTGTGACAAAGACATTCCAGAAGACTCTGCTTTCAACACCCTCTCTTAGTATCCCTCCTTTCTCTTTCAGGTTTGGATTATTTCCCTGGAAATCTCGGGGGGTAGGGGTACAGAAGGGGCAAACCAATGGCCACCAAGTGGCATATTTTGCTGGGATGAAGGAAAAACATGTGTTTACCAGGTGCATGTATGAGCATTCATGTGAGCCTGTGTGCAGAGGAGTCTGCCCGGAAGCAACACACGTGTGGTTGGGGTCTGTGTGTGCATTCACTTGAGACTTGTGACCTCAGACATGTGCATTGGTATTTGAGGGGACCTGTCCAGAGCCGTGTGCAGGTCTATACACCTGTGCCTGGTCTACGGCCAGGAGGGTCGCAGCACCATCCCCACCCCACCCAGACTCCCAGCTCTGAGTTCTTGCCTACCATCAGCAACAACGGGCTCCGTTCTAATCTCTGCCTGGCACGCTGCCAACTCCAAAGGCGCCCAACGTCCAAAGAGGAGAAGATATCTGCCCCAGACCCCCTAGAAAGGCCAGGATCTGGGTCTCTCAAGCTTAGCCTCCCCAAGGCTGGCACTCTTCACCTATCGGACTAGTCCTTTCCCGCTGTGTGACCAGGAGCACGTCACTGACCCTCTCTGAGCCTCCGTTCTGCCCTGACTTCCATACCCACACACAGCACCGCTTGCAAGCCTAGAGAAGAGGTTAGTTCCACGCTTGTCAATTTTAAACGATGAAGATTCCCCTCCTATTCCTCCTCAGAAGGAACCCACTTTGAGACCAGTGGCTATGAGAGAGAAGTCTGTGACCCAGGGCTGAAAGAGGCTCAGGCAAGGGCTTTTCTCTGCACCTCCGTTAAAAAATCTGCAAGATGGAAAGGAGTCTGCTCTCCCCCGCGTGTGCAGTCCCTCTGAGGTCAGCACAGGGACCTCATTCGCTCCTCCCGACGCCCTGCAGGGAGCTGCACAGGGCTGCCTCACAGGCGAACCCCAGGCCACAGCTGCCGGCCGGGTGGGTGAGCTCCTGGCCGGATTCCGAACCTCCACCCACCACTCCTCTCGGACCGGGCCTGCTGCTGCACACAGTAGGGCTCTGTTGGGCTCAGACTCCACTGGGTCCCCATGCCCAGAGCCTAGGCAAGGGAGGCACTGCCCCAGAGGGGCTCAGGCCTCACCCTGGGAGCCCCCAGCTGGGCCCTGGTGACTGGGTTTGGGGCAAAACCATTACTCGGCTTAATGAGGAGAAGGTGCCAAAGACACGTGTATTTACAAACCCGCCGCCGCCGCCACACCGCAGCCCCGGGAGGCTGCCAAGCGCACTGGCAGGTGGGCTTCCGAGCTGCCTCTGTCGGCGCCTCCAGGGGGCACCGTCCGAGCGGTGGACCTCCAGGGCTGCTGCAGACAGGCAGGTGCCACCCCTCGGAGCCGTCCCCACCCTGGCGGAGTCCAGCCGTGAGGTGAGGGCAGGGCTGCCGCAGAGGAACACTCAGGCCACCTCTGCGGCTCTCCCGCTCCATAACACAGAGGTCAGGCCCAGCCGCCGCTGTGGGGAGAAGAGGGTACAGGAAAGGTCAGACTGTCACACTGTCACCCAGACCCCTCCCCAGGATCACGTCCTGCTTCCGCTGCCCACTGTGTGACTCTCAGCAAATGACTTCAGCTCTCTTGTGCCTCAGCTTCCACAAACGTTAAGTGGGGATAGTGACAGCGCCAACCTCAGCAGTGTGGAAGAGCAGACATGGCGGCCGGGGTGCCTGACAAAGGACAGCCTGGCTCCCCGACTGGTTTGATAAGCATGAGCCGGTGTGCGCCAGCGGCTGTTTACACCGGCTTTTGCAAGATGGCACAGGCGGGGCCGGCCCAGTCAGCCTCCTGCTCGTGCCTGTCGCACCTCCGGGCCCTGCACAAGCTGTCCCCCCGCTGGGAAGTCCTTGCTGCTGTCCCTTTGCTCTCGGCACACTCTCACTGTCCCGCTGTCGTCTAGACCTCTGATTGTTTAATCCCCTTGGAAGACACCTGTGAGCATCCTCACAGTCTCATGGATCTCTCATGATTCTGAGAGGCAGATGTTCATGCTTTTCAGATGAGGAAACCAAGGCTTGGCAAGGGCTGTCAGTTAAATGTTGACCTTCCTCGCTGGGGACAGACAGGCCAGGGGGTTACCACCTGCACCATTCCCAAGCCCACCTACTTTCCTGTTATCCCCCCGCCCAACCTTGGGCCTCCGTCTCCAGGCCACGTGTTGTCCCAGATGAGCAGCCTGCATGCAGGAGCCCGGGGAGGCCCCAGGGATGGGCCGGTAGAGGCAGGAGGACGGGCCCAGGAGCCAGGGGAGCCGGGGGACCCACTGCCAAGTACTGGGGTGGGGAGGGCTATGCGCCTGTGTGCGCAGAGGCTTGACCCTCTGTCAGCCGGGGAGAAACTTCCAGAGGAATGTAAGCTATGAGGGAGGAGGGGAAGGCAGGCCCAGGCAGTCACCACGCACAGTGCCACGGGGAGGCGGTGGGGGAGGCGGTGGGCCAGGGAAGACCCCAGCCCACCCACCCCTGGAATCCCAGCAGTTCCTGAAGTCTGCCCCAGGAAGGCCCGTCTGCCTTCAGGGCTCTGCTCGGCTGGGCAGATGATTCAGGGAAGCCAGTGGGGCGTGTCTGACAGAACCAGCTTCCAACCCAGCCCAGCCTCCGGAAGTGGGACCTCAAGCATGACAGCTCCCAGCCTGAGCCTCAGTTTTCCCTTCTGCAAGCTCAGGGGCTGGGGATATAGCTCAGTGGCATAAGCACCTACCTGGCAAGTGCAAGGTCCTGAGTTTGATTTCTGGTACAAAAAAAAAAGTACCTTCTGCAAGCTCCAGCTCAGAATTATAGTGAAACACACAGGTGGCACCCAAAATATCTGGGCAGAGCAGACTCTCCAAGTGGTCGCAGTCCTGATGGCAGCAGTCCCCACAGAGCTCGTGGCCAGGCACAGCACCATGCTCTGGGCTTCACACTGTCCTCTGTACCCTCTGCCTCACGGTGGCATTAGGACACCTGTATGCCCACAGTTGCACTGGATAGGCGAGGAAACCATGACAAAGAGCTCACGGTGCTCCCAGGGACTTGCAGCGCCGCAGTGGGAGACCGCAGTCTGGCCCTACCCCATGTGCTGGCCCTTCTGGACCACAGGCTACGGCGGGAAGGTGCCCTGTTTCTGCATCCTTAGCCCCAAGCCCAGGGATCAAGGACAGCAGGGCTCGGGGACTTGTTGAAGGAACAGAGGTGCCCCCATAAATGATCCCTGAACCTCCATTACAGGGCCCCTGCCCCAGTGAACCCCCGGATTTGAGATCTATGCCACCATAGCTGGGCCTCCCTTTGCCAGTACAGACCTGGCCTCTCATCCCCAAGCCCCGCGCTGGCACTGAGGCTTTGTGAGAATGAAGCAGGTCCCCTTCCCTGGACCTCCCCTCCCCCTCTGGCAGGGGTGATGGGGCGGAGCCCTCTGACAAAGTGGGAGCTCCACCCGGCCACTGGTGGGGGTGGAACGAGAGGTGAGCCGGGGACTTCCTACCCCGCGGGGGGGGACTCCCACCACCATTCAGTGGTTTCTAAATCATCTTATAAAACCCAGGGATGACCCGTGGGCAGGGCGAGGAGGATGCAGGGAGCAGGAACGAGCAGGCAGCGACATAGCCCCTGCTGCCACCAGGCCCGAGCACAGCACACACGTGCACACATGTGCGCGCACGCCCTGTCGGTCTGGGGAGCCCCCGCACACCTGCCAAGCCAACCGCTCCTCTCCACACCGCGTTCCGAGGGCTGGGCCCCAGGAGCCTCATGAGGTGCCACCTGGGGCCTCGGGTCCTCAAAAGTCTCCCAAGGAGGTACCCCTGGGGGTTAGGGGAACCCAAGAGACACAATGGCATCCTGGTTTCAGAGCCCTGTCTGCTGTTGCTGCTCAGTTTTTGTTTTCCCGGTACTGGGAATCGAACTCACGACTTGGTGCTTGCCAGGCAGGCGCTGTGCCGCTGAGCTAAATCCCCAGCCCCGCCGCTCAGTTTTTGAAACTGCAGGTGTGCCCTTGGGAGGTGGAAGCCTGTGCCCCAAACTCTGGGCAGGCCACCAGGCCAGCAGGTCTCCCTGGTGGGTGGGAGGAGAGCATTTTAAAGATTCATTGACACCGGTTGAGGGCTGGGGGTGTGGTTCAGTGGTAAACCACTTGCCTCGAATGTGCAAGACCCTGGGTCCCATCCACAAGACACACACACACACACACACACACACAAAAAAAAATAATAATAATAATAATAATAATAAAGACACAGCCTGTAGCTAGCTCCTCCTAGAAAGCACACAGCACAGAGAATTGTCCCTCCGCTGGGCCTCGGCCAGCTTCGTGCTGCATCTTTGAGCTGGCCCAGGTCCCAGGGTGTGCTGCGCACTTTGCCCCATTCCCTTCCCTCCCCCTGTGGGACAGGTGTGCTCCTCCCACCCACAGGAGGAAGCAGAGAAAGGCAGGTGACTCACCAGGCCACACCTCAAGGAAGAAGTAGGGCTGAGGCCAGATCCCAGCTCTGTCCCACTCCAGACCAGCGCTCCTCTCTGGGGTGACAGCTGTGACCTTTGGCAGGTCGCCTGTGCCACCGACATTCTCTGTTGTGACCTGGTGGGAGGTCACGACTGTCCTGGGGGAAGGAAGGAGCCATTCAGCCTGTCTGAGTGATGATGACAGTGACGGTGACAGTAACGCTGGGGAGGAAGGAAACGATGAGCAAAACCAGGCCCAGGACCTCTGTGTCATGCTTGCAGCGGGAGAGAGAAGCCGGGACTCAGCCAAGGGGTCTGGGGCTCACTGCTGGAATGACCTCCACCTGCTGTGTGGCCTCTGCTGAGGCACCTCCGTCTCTGAGCTTGCTCGAATTCTTCGAGCCTGCAGTAGAGGTGAAAAGGGCCATTTCTTGCACTGCCATGGGCATTCAGGGCCACCAGGCAGGCAGAGTGCCCGGCACCCAGCAGGTGTCCAGTGATGGCTTTTTGCCTCTTCTATCCAGGATGTGAGGCCAAGACAATCTTTGCCCGAGCAGGTGGTGTCTCTGGGCACCATGATGGCAGAAAGGTGCCAGTAACTTCCATGGCCCTGCCCCAGCTTCCAAGGCTGCTCAGCAAAGCCCCAGGGGCTGTCACTGGCCAGCACCAGACATATGTCCCCACAGGCTGGTCCTGGCAGGGGAGGCAGGCGCAGAGCCCCACCAGTGCAGGGGCAGGAGAGCAGGTAAGGCCTGGATTCAACCCTGGGCCTGCCAGCCTGTGAATGGGACTCTGTGTCCTTTGAGGGGCTTCCTGGAATGACAGTAGCACTGGCTATCTCCGGGAGCTTCTGCGGAGCTGGGGAGCCAGGAGCTGAGACATCCTGGCTTGGAAAAGCCACAAGTACCAGCCTATCCACCATCACCCTCCCTGGTCACCTCCCAGCAAGCCGGAAGTACAGCTCCATCAGAGGAAGGGGGTGACAGCAAGGAGTCTGGGCGGGCGTCTCTGGAGGTGTGGATGTAGCACTAAGGAGCACCTAGAAGGGGATGGACGGACAGAAAGATGAACGGAAGGATGGATGGATGAATGAAGGGATGGATGGATAGATGGTTGGGTGAGTGGATGATGGGTGGGATGGACGGGTGGTTGGATGATGAGAGGATGGGTGGATGGGTAGATGGATGGATGGATGGATGGATGGGAGGATGGATGGATGGAAGGATGGATGGGTGGATGGAAGGATGGATGGGTGAGCAGATGATGGGTGGATGGATGATGAATGGGTGGGAGGGTGGGTGGATGGATGATGGGCAAGTGGATTGGACAGATTTGGATTCTGAAAATTCCGGTTATGGACACTTCTGCGGCAGCAGCTATCCATGTCCTACCTATATACACACCTCCCATGAGCTTTTACTGTAGATCCTATGGCTCCGCCTCCCTAGCCACGGAACATGCTGTGCCAGGGGGTCCAGCACAGCCTTTGCCAAACACAGACAGGAGCTGAAGGGCAAATGTCTGAAGCTCCTCATCCTGTAGAAGGACAACTCCGAGGCTTGCTCCCCTCGCTGTCCTGAGGTCCTCAGGGGAACCAAGTCCCGGTGGCCACTTGCTCACCGGCCCCCGACACGCCATCTGTGGGCTGCTCGCCCCTGTCCCATTTCCCGACTTCTCTCACTGCACATCCAAGAATCCCCGCACGCACCGCCTGCTCTCAGATCCTTGGCTCAGGTCTGCTTCCGGGGACCAGACTTAAGATAACGCTTCTGCCACCCACCTAGAGTCTCGGCCAAGTCATCCAGTTCCTGTGCTTCCGTCGCCTCATCTATAAAGTGGGTATCATCATTGAGCATCTGCCGCAGACCCACGGTGGGGAGTCGCAGGGTCTCCCTGTGCCCCGTGTCTTGCTGGTGCTGAAGGTGCAGAGAGAAGGGCAGCCAAGTCCTTGCCCCAGGAACTCCCCGAAGATGGAAATGAGGGGTTGGGTCCCAGCCACGGTGGGCGGGGGAGACGAGAATCAAATCCTAGCTTCCCACAGTCTCACTGTGTGCCCCCGTCCAGCTACACCTCGCTGGGTGGCTCTATTTACCCTTCTATTAGGGACACAACCAGAACCCACTTCCTGGGGCTTCTGTGAAGAGAAAGAGAAAACGCAAGAGGTGCGGCCGCCACGTGTGTGACACCGTGTGTGACAGGAGGAGAGCAGCGTCGCCATTGTTGAGGATGTGAGGCAATGGGAACCATGAGCCTGGGGGACTCAGCTCTGCTCAGGGGCTGAGGTGCCCTGGGAGCTCAGGGAAGGAAGGACCCTGGTGGCCCAAGGATGGGGCCACGATGAAGACAGCCTCCAGGGCCCTGAGCCCGGTCACCAAGGGCCACACAAGCTGAGAGGAGGCTGGCCATTTCCCTCAGCGGCCCCTTCTCCCCCAACTTCACCATCACCCTTGGGCTGGTCAGCCGTAACCCCAGTCTCAAGCTGTCGGTGGCTTCAGGAGCCCCACCCACAGCCAGCGCAGCAGGGACAGACAGGGCTTCCCCTGCCCCATGGGCCTGGTAGAAATACAGGGTCCTGGGCCCCAGATTCCAGATTTGGCGGCAGCAGGTGTGGGGTGGGCCCAGCCAGGTTAGGGAACTACTAATTTGTTCCCTCACACACTGCACCTTCCATGCGGGGAAGCTGAGGCCCAGAGAACTGACCCAGTACCTCTGCAGTATCCCGAGAAAGCAGGAAGGAGGGAGAAACTGGGACTTGGCCAAGGGGACCCGGGGTCATTCCTGCGGTGACCTCCGCCCTCCGTGTGGCCGCGGCCGAAGCACCTCCTTTGCTGAGCCTGCTCGCATTCCACCAGCCTGAAGTGGAGGTGAAAATGGCCACCACTGGCTCTGACGTGTGCATTCGGGAACACCAGGCAGGCAGAGTGCCCGGCAGATGCCCACCGATGGCTTTCTGCTCCCTCCGTCCAGGGTGTGAGGCCAAGACAATCTTTGCCCAAGCAGGTGGTGTCTCTGGGAGCCAGGTCGCCAAGAGGGAACTCCTGGGCCTGGTGCTCACCCAGCGCCCGCGCCCCTGGGGACACCAGCCTGACAGCGCAGGGGCAGAGTCCTGCTCCGGGAGGCCTGGCTGCCAGCCCCTCTGCCCGCTCTAGGGAGACTCACGGCTCTGGAAGCTCTGGCACACGTGAGCCCAGGGAGCCTCCCAGAGCCTCTGTGACACTCAGCAGGGGGCAGAGCAGGGCTGCGGGGCAGAGGGCCCAACCTGATGCCTCCACGTTTCTCTGGCAGAATGGCGTTCTCCTGAATAGTAGCCCACGTGCAGAGAATTCCTTAGCACGGGCCCCCCGCTGCCGAGGGAGGAGTGGGGGTGTACCTGCAGCTCTGCCTGACAAATGCCCCGGCAAGTCCCAGCACAGGGCCTGCCCGCCTGCCCGGAACAGGGAGGGAGGTGGTGGCAGCTGGCCAGGTGGGGATCCAGACACTGCTGGGCAGCCTGTGCCCCGCACCAGTCACGGCTACAGCTGCCAGAACCTTCTCCTTCTCTTCTTCTCCTCCTCCCCTTCCTCCTCCTTCTCCTCTGGAGAGCAGGAATGTGGCTGCCAACTTTTCATGTATGCACACACACGCAGGAGCACACACATGTGTGTGTGTGCGCACACACACACACAGACACACACACAGCTGAGCATACTTAAGCCCAGCCCTGCTGGGCCAATGTCCCCAGGCACCAGCCCGCTAGGAAGGGACATACACTGTTGAGCCCTCTGCTGGAGCTCCAAAAGAAGCCAAGGAACTTACACAAGAGCTAAGTTCCGATTCCAACACTTTCTCTTAAGTCACTGTGTGACCTTGGACTCTACCTTTCTGGGTCTCACTTTCCCCACCTGTCAAATGGGAATAACATTGTGTAATTAAAGGTGCCTGTGGATGCCCGCCAGCGCTGCGCACTCACTAGAGAGACCTGGGATTTGGCAAACAAGCCAGGCTGCCTTGTCCACAACACATGTACGTGGTCGGATTGATTCGATCAAAGAGCGCTTAGTGGGTGAGTTTGAGACTAATGATTCCTGCTTTTTCGGCCTCAGTATTTCCCCTTGTAAAATGAGCCGGTTAGGACACAGCCCCTGACATTCCTTCCATAAGCACCTTGCGCTGCATAGGTGATATTCAAGCAACATTTTGCTGCTACTGAGAGAAAAGGCGGAAAGATGGGAGTTTCAAGATGGTGGTGTCTGAGCAAAAGGAACATACGCCGAGAGTGAAATCTCAGGTGCCGGAAATTTCAAGGCCAGCAGAGCAAAATTCAAGGCCAGCAAAGATTCTTCACCTAGCTGTCTGCCCTCTGTCACAGAGGCTGTTGGCACTGGACAAGATAAATTACCGCTTATGGGCTGTGTGGCCTTGGCCCAGTTGTCAAGCACCTTGCTCCGCTGGTCCCCTTTTCTGTAACTGAGGGGTGTTCGTCCTGGTTCCCAGGGGCAGCTCTCGGAGTTAGGAAATCACAGATGTGGTCCACAGGCTTGGCAGGGTTGCCTCTTCCAAGAGCTCCTCTTGCTCCAGCACTCTGTGCTGAACTCTGGGCTTGGGCTAAATGGGGATGGCAGGAGCCCAAGAGTTGAGACTCCTGCCCTTCAGGGCCTCACATTCTAGGCAGGGGGAACAGGGAAAGGCAGAAAATAAGACCGAGACAGGATGGGATATGGGGCCCCTGGGAAGCTCTCTTGGGGGAGCTGAGAACTCCACAGCAGCCATGCAGGGATCAAAGCAGAAACACACCAAGCAGAAGCAGTCTGTGCAAAGGTCCTGGGGCAGAGACCAGCTTGAGGGTTTGAACGAAAGGCTTGTTGGGGCTAGAGATAGTCAAGTAACAGTGAGGTCTGAGGAAGCACACATGGGGCCCTGGAGGCCACTAAGCTCCCCATCACCTTCATTCCATCCCAAATCTTCACCCGCTTCCCTGGTAGCACCCCAAGACCCAGAGCCCACAGGCCAGAGCCCAAAGCCTCCTCCTGGGAAGTGGGCCACACACAGAGGGCTTTTCCCAGATGTGGAGAAGCTGCTGAGTCGTTTTTCCCGGCGTGAGGAGCAATGGCTCCCTCCTCGGAGCAGGGATGCGCAGAGGCGTGCGGCCCCTTGGGGAGCCTCCGAGACAGTCCCAGCC